TATACAATAGATAAATCAACGATTATCCATTTAAATTTAATCCTTAATTTCTAAAGTAACAATAGGTGTGTATATTTCTAATGAAATGAATGAAATTCATGGAACGTTGAAAGTAGGAATGATGATATGCGTATACTTAATGATAAAAAAAAAGAACAAACTATCTCACGTTAAACTTTCGCCCTCTTTTTCTTTTTCTTTTTTTTTTTAACACCTTTCTCGTTTCTTTTGTTTTCCAAAGGAAGACGTTGTAATATTGTAATAGCAAACTGAAAAAGATAAGATAACATAACGAGATCACTATACTACTATACCACCATCGCGTTAAACTAAAAGAAAAATAAGAAAAAGAGGAAGAAGATGAAAGATGAAAGATGAAAGATGAAAGAATAATAAGAGGAAGATCATTTCCCTCGAGCGGTGAAAGCTACTTTACTCGTTCATAATCATCCTATGCGAAATAATCATTTTAAACCCGGTACTACTACTACTGCTGGTTGATAGTGGTGATTTTGTTGTGTTCTGTTAGCAAGCAAAAGTGCATATAAAGTGTCTTCTTCTTTTCAAATCGAGACCGAGACAAAAAGGAAAGTCTCGACACGATTTCCCGTCGTAGATCTCGCGAATCGAATCTTTTTCAGCCTTGTCCTCGAATTACTATAACTTCTTCAAGGTCATCCTTCTTAAAGATCCTACCCGCTGTTACTATTATTTCAAGATAATCATAAATCTCATTTAAAAGAAAAAAAAGAAAAAGAGGAAAATAGAAAAAGAAAGTTAGGGATGATGATGAAAATTGTGCACAATTTTATTGCAAATATGATTATTGAATAATTAGAAAAATGTATTAAGAATTAAAGTTAATACCCTCTCCCCCGCTACTTTTGTTTTTTTTTCTTATCGTGATTATTATAAAAAAATTTATCCAACACTAGGTACTATACTAAAATAATAATATACAAATAGTAATATGAATAATTTTCAAAGATCATTAATTTTTTCCCCAGTGTTTCAATCTGCGATTGTTAATTATAACGTTATTAAAGTTTCTTTTATTGTTTAGAAAATAAAAATTATGAAATATTATATATTATAGTTAATCTTTTTAGTTAAAAAAATTATTTGAATTTATTTTATGATTTTCTCTTCTTTTTTGTAAAAACATAAATCATTTTAATATAAAATAAATTATGAAATTAATTTTCTTTCTAATATTTTCACTCATTGTATAGTTCGTGGTCATAATTACCAATCCACGCACACAGACAGACACACACACAATATGTGTGTGCTACTAATATGAAGGAAGAAAATTAAATGACAATATAAAATGAATTTATTATTATATTATATGATTTAAAATTTACGCGAGTTCTCTCGATGAATTAAACAATAACAATAAAATAAATAAATGTAATTTTTAATTTTTTTTTTTTTTAATAAAGTAGTTTATTTCTAATCGATACAAAATACGCGGATAATCATATTTGAAAAACAACACGCAAGATTTATCCGCGGTAATAGAAAAAGAAAACAAAAATTTACCGAGAATTCCTCAGAAATATTATACCATAAGTTGAATCAAATAATCCGTAATTACGAATATTATGGTGAAGTAAAATAATCCCATAAACGATCATCATTAATACGATGAATTACTCTCTAAAGATTAATCTTAAAAACATTTCTGATTAGTTTACTTACGGCTACCGTTGGCTTCCTATTACAGCTGTTCTACTACTGCTACTTGTGTTTGTCTTCTAATACTGACAGTTGACCTTCGGCAAATGCATTCAGAATAATGATTATCATTTACCCATAACTCCACCCTTTCCAAGTTACACTCGGTAAACGTGTTAGACTCGTTCCTTTTCTCCCCTCCTCTTTTCTTTGCGTTCCAATCTTAATTCTTAAAAAAAAGAATAATAAAATTATCTTTTTCTCTTTAGCAGTGAGATAGGGGAGGGCTTTAGGGATGGAAGATTTTTTTAAGGGGGAGGGGGGGATAGGTGAATTTAAATAATATGTATAATCATTGAAAATCTGAATTATTTCAACGAGTTAAAAAATTGATGGAAAGAAACCGAAACGGGATGAATTTTGTGAACAAAAAAAAAATACATAAGAGAAAATGAGAATAAAAATAAGAATGAGAATAAGAGAGAAAAGAAATAGAGAAATTCCAATCCTCCTTTCTAACGATTTTCTTGCCTCCTTTTCTCGCTCACGATGGAATCTCGGTGAAGCGTAAAACCGTTGACGATGAAAATAAGAAACGTGGAAGCAGAGAAAGGCAATGGATGATGAGGGTAAGGTGGTGGTGAAGGAGGAGAAGGAGAATAAGAGAGCTCAACGCCATATAGATGCGAGTAAAATGATTCAGCGCCAATGAAATCTCTCTGCATTGATTTTAAACTAAACTGTCTTTTCATCGTCATTTGTTTATACAAAATATTATTTATTTATTTTTTTTTTTGCTTATTATTTTTAATTGTTGAAAACAAATGAATGTTTTAACAAAAGTTTTATTCAATCTATGATTGACGAATATTGTAAACGTTACGAATATACAATATATGAGAATATTTTTGTATTATCGTTTGATATTTGCGAAACAATTTATGTACGTATCATTTTTAAGAAAAAAAAGGTCAAAGTAAGGTAATTGATCGAATGGTGAGGTCAGTTAAAATAATTGTGAAACAAATTTTGAATGAAAATTATTAATGGTTGGTGTATTGATTGAAAATTGATAATTGTATTGTTAACATTATTAATATCGATGATTACTTTTTGATTTCTCTCTCTCTCTTTCTTTTTTTTTATCTCGTGAAGATACAAGATAAACATCGATTAAATCGATGATTCTTAAATTGTTTTCCATGGAACCCTGTGGAGGTTTTAGTAAATTTTTCTTTAGTTATATTTCATTAAATATAATATCATTTGTCGTATTTGAAAACTATAATGGCTGAATATTTAAATGAAAAATATTCCTTTATTAACGTATCGTAGATTTTTTTGATGTATATTTAATCTTCCATATTTGTACCGAGGAAACTTTTCGTAAAAAGATTTTTAACGCTCAAAACTTGAAAAGCATTAAATTGAATTAATTGAAAATTGAAATTTGATATAAAAGGAAATAAAGAATAAAATAATTCCGCCGTGCATCGATAAAACGAACGCTACGCGGAATTAATTAATTAGATTAATTAATTAGATAAGATCGATCGAACGAAGATGATAATACACATCCTCGTTCGTTGGCTTAAAATCATTTGCTGAGCTAGTCTTGATCCTTTTAAACTACCTACGTACTTAAAGGTTTCTTTTTTTTTTTTTTTCTAAACGTAAATGTTTTGATCGAACAAAATGATCGAGATTAGAGATCCTTAGGATTTTTTTTATATCGTACAATTAAGTAACTGTATTTCTCGTTTTATTTATTTATTGTTTCTTCAGAGAAATCGTGTATATATCCAATAAATATTGTCATCAAAATATATTTTGTTTATATAAAAAAAAGAAAAAAAAATTTAAAAGGTCGAAGGAATGAGAGATAGATCAGAAAGAGGATCTTAACTATCTATCACTTTCATCTTGTTCGGTACGAAAACGGTTTGATCATAAGTAAGAGAATTTTTGTAACTACCCTTGGTTGGAAATTTATAAAAACAAAAAAACAACAGAAAGACAAAAGAAAAAAGAAAAAAAATGTTCGATCAAAGGCGCGATAAAGGTGAATCACGTACGGGATTATCGTAAAGGCCGTCGTTATCTCATTATTTTCCGCGCTGAGTTACACAAAACGACGAGAGTCTTCAACATGGCGGCCATTAATGTACAGCTCTTTAAAAGGGGATAATATCGGGACTTGTATCCGGCGGATTAACGAGGGCCAGCACGAGATATTGTCGGCACTTTGCGGTCAAGAAAAAGTGTTGATACACGACGATAAATAGCGAACGACGATGATGAGTTTCGAAACATCTTCATTCTCTGCAAAGTAGTATCCTTTCTTTAATCTATAATGATTTAGTTTTATTTTGTCTTTTTTTGAAGTGAAAACTTTTTCAGAATTGAGGTGATTTTTTCACTTGCCTTTTTATTATTATTAATATTATAAAAATTTAATTATTCGCGAATAATTAAAATCAAAAAGAATGAGAGATATAACATTTAATTTAAGTGTAATAATAAAATCGTTAGTTTGTAATATGATCTTAAAAATTTTTGCAATGTAAATTATTTAAATAATTAACTTTTTTCTTTTCTTATTTTTAATGGTTTAAATTTTAAAATGAGATATTTTTGTTTATATTTCAACTAGTGGTTCCATTTATATTAGAAAATTAATTCCGACCTGACATCTCGTGGTCGCTATTCTAAATCAAAGGATTGATATACCGATCGCAAGACGCGTTCTACCTTATCGACGATCGCTGTAAATTTTATTTACATTAATTTTACAATTTGAATAATTGAAAAGAAATTTACGACAAACTCTCTGTGTCACTTTGTTCTTTTTATTTCAACAGATAAAGAGGCGATATACTTTATTTAAATTAATGTAAATTATACAAAAAAAAAGAAAAAAAACACGAGTATAACGTCGATGATGTTTAAGCCGGCTTTTCATCATCTAACTATCTCTAAAACTAAAAGTAGTATAATTAATATTGATATATTATATCTACAAGTAATAATAAAAATCAAATAATTATAATAATAATGTTTTTATACGACGAAGAGTAAAATTGATATAATTTCGAGTATGAAAAAGCAAAATATCTAAATAAAACAATACATTAAAATCAAATCGAAGTGATTGCTTCTATAAGCGTATAATAACGAAATTATGAAAATGTTTATGATGATGATGATAATGATGATGACAATAATAATAATAATTAGTAATAATTATTAGAACCTGTTTGCCTGGAACTTGCCACTTTCGATTTAATTAAAAATTTTATGGATTAAATTAAAATAACAAATAATGATAATAATCAAAATAATAATAGTAATAGTAATAATACAATGGACTTAACATAAATTATGTAACGCTTGCTAAAGAATAATGAAAAAACTAACTAAATGATGTATTTTATGAAAGTTGACAATGGAGGAGAGTATTTCCAGGTAACCGAGCTGCTTCCTTTTTTCGATTCGATAATCGATTCTATTACTCGAGGATACTCGCTCGAAATCTATACTTATTAATATACATATGCATGCAACTTTATATATATATTTTTATATATAATTATATATCTATATGTATATATAACAGGATTCGAAATCATTATCGGAACGAACGAACTATAACATTCTGTTTTTACAAAACTGTTAACTATCAATAATATAAACATAGCAACGAAATAACATCCTAACGCTTACATACAAAGAAAAGATATTAGTTTTTCTTTTTTTTTCACGATACTTTAAAGCTCTTTACAAATACTCCTTGCATAATTGTCGAATATCAATTTGAGAGATGAGAAAAATTAGGATCGTCGCACCGCGAACGAATCTTTTTCCCCTTTTTCTTTTCTTTTCATTTATTTGTTTTTCTTTCGTTAGATGTTTAAAAGAAAATTAGGAAACAAGAAGATAATAATAAATATTTTCGACAGAGACGAATAATACACTTTCTCACACTTTGTTTTTTCTTTTCTTTTCTTTTTTTTTTTTTGTTCCTGTCACAATTAAAATATCTTATTCCTAATTTAATTATTATGATTTAAAAAAAAAAGAAAGAAATGTCTTTGTACTCATCACCTCTCTCGGTAGTTTTTTTTTTTTTACGTAAACAATTCTTTTAATCGTTAATATTTTTCCCTAATATTTTCGGATAAAAATCCTCACTATGAGAAAAATACGTTCTATCGTTGAGAATATTAAATGATTTAATGAAGATAAATTGTCGTCGAAGAAAAGAAAAAGGAGAAGTAAAATTTGTTGTTCTTATTTTTCATTCTCTGTAGATTTCTCTCTCTCTCTCTTTTTTTCAAACTGTGTAAACTGGCTCAGGATGATGCGAAGGTACGCAGTAACCGCTATAAGTTTTGATCTCCAATATGCCAGAATAAGATCTTGCCGGCAATGATCCAGGATCCGTGTGACGTCTTGGACAACGATGTCCCCTGGGACATTGGCAAAGAGGCGATGCATTAACTTCTTCCAACTGCGAACTCCTTCTTTTACGTACGGTGAACAACCTACAGGGTTCCTTATGCTGGCAACGTAGCCTCTGTAACGAGACAAAATGTCTAATTGATTTTTATTTTATAATATTACCATTATTGATTTCCATTATTAATATCTTATTTTTTAATTAATTAATTAACACTTAACATTTTATAAAACAAGTTATGTACTTATTTATTATATCTGTCCCTGGTTCATCATTTTGGCTTTTTTTTTTGTAATAGATTGTTTAATTAATTAATTAACACTTTGTATAATACTTATCGTTATTATTAATAATGATTATATTTAAAGTTTTAATTAATGTAATGTAAGCAATCAAATACATGGCAATCGATTTTTGAAAATTAAATTAATAAATTAAAAAAATTTAATTAAATTAAATTTTTAAAGATCGAAAATTTAATTAATACAATGAAAGATAAATATAATATAAAATACTATTTATTATCTATTATTATATTATAGAAATTTTATATTAAATGAAATATGAAGTTGTGGAATCATTTTGTAGGACCGTAGAAAGAAAAAGAAGAAGAGGGTACATTCAATCAGTAGGAAATTAAAATAATAGATAAAAATATATGAATTTTATATATATGAAAAATGACTTACGCTTTGTGGCGAACAAGCAAAAGCATATATGAATCCTGAATTCCCCTCTGGAGAGATATGGGGTTGTCTTCGGACGAGATAGGGTACACTACCTGGACGACATCTACAATGTACACGTTGTACCGTTGCGTTAGCTGGTCCTCCTCCGGGTGCTAACGTCCACGTGATGTCCCTGAAACATTTATTATCCTAACATTATTACCAATCAAACAAAAATGTTATGGTGTTACATCATTATTGATAGTAGCCAGGTAATAATTTTACAACGTAACACTCTATATATGGATTTATATAATTATGGGAACTCTAACACGATAAGAAAATTGTGACAAAACTTTGTACAACACATGATAAATATGAATTTTTTGCCTTAACATATTTAAAAACTAAATTATTTGAAAATAATTAACGCGAAGGAATAATAAACTATGGGAGGGGTCTCGTATAACACGGTTTTACTCGACACGGTAATTTTTAAGAACCTACTATCTTGTTATAGGATATGTTGCCTGTACTACAAAATACTATTTAACGCTAATTAATTTTACGCTAATTAACAAATATCGTATACGAAACATTTTCTTGCTAAAACCACCGTACCCAATGGTCCGGTTATTTTTTTTGTTTTTGTATTATAATATTTTTTAATTTTTATTTTTTAAATTAATTATAATTGCATTGGTAGTTAAAAAACGATTGTCGAGTAATATATTACTTTTTTTATTTTAAATAAAATACGAAAAAATGGAATATATGTTTGCAGTAATGTGTTGTTGAAAGATCGATAAAATAAATACGACAATCATTAGTACTCACTTGAAATATCGACAAATGGGAAGCCGTTTAACGGGTTCGCATAATTTATATTGTCGAGTTTTATCTACTATCGTGTGTCCATCATCCGCGTGAAGGCTACTAGGACAAGCACGTCCACCTGGACAACGACATTGTCTCTCAACCCATGGTGCACCGTAAAGATCCACTTTGCTGCATACTTCGCTACGATCCGAACACTCTGGTAATTGTTCTTCGCTATCCTAGAGAAAATAATTAAAATGATTCATTAAATTAAATCTGTCAAAAAATAATAATCGGTTTACAATTTAACGATTAATAACACTAATAATAATAATAATAATAATAAATAATAATAATAATAATTATTATTATTATTATTATAACAAACGAATAAAGACAAACAATCGAACAAACAAACAAAAACAAATAAGGAAGATTTATCAATTTATTGATAGAATCAAGTAGTATTGACTAACTTCACGTAGTAGTAAAATTGTGTGGCTGTGTGCGCGCGCATATGGTAATTACGCGCCAAAAGTATAATTTTAAAAATTAATAAAATGCGTTAGATCGGATAACATGATTGATTATCGTTACGTAAATGTTAAACAGGATTCGCAAATGATTCAACAGACATATCCTGCCTACGCCTGTTTATTCGAAAGTATCTCACCAAGAATATATCGAAAATATCAACTCTAATGTTAATTCGCGTGGAAAAAGAGATTAGACATTTCCGTCACGTGCTGAACCAATAATCTCTTAACATTATTTTAAGAAACTATATCACGTGCCAACGAACAACAATTCGCCTGTTGCAAGAACAGATTTCCCTTCTCCGTTCCTTTTACCCCTTTTATACGTCGGACACGCGTGTTTAACGATTTTTAAACGAGTAGTACACTTACACATAATTCACATTTATATATATTTATACCACACATACTTTTCTCTATAACAAGTTCTTTTATTGAAAATTAAAAAGAAAGAAAAGAAATTAAAGATCATCTAGAGATCTTTGTGAGAACTAGGGTGCGGGGCGTGTGGGGGTTAAGAAAAAAAATAAGGTATTAGGGATTTGTTCGAAAAGAAACAGCGTTGATCTTCGTCACGCCACGAAGCCGTATCATTCAGGGTCGACCGGCTCTCATTTCTGGATCGTTCATGCCTTTTAGAAACGAAACGTGCCTCTCCTTGTCCCAGCTCTCTCTCTAAGAACGTGTTTTCGCGGCAACGGACTTCCGGTCGCCTTTAAGACGACAAGCTTTCGATAAGTTTACCTCGTACCTAAGTAAATAACCCCTATCGTATATTATACGTATGTATATACACATATACCTCTTTTAACGTACATATCCAAACGATTTNTTTTTTTTGACGAATATGTATATATTACGAAAATAAATAAAAAAGAAAAGAAGAAAAAAACAAACCACTATCTCTTATAAAAAAAATAAAAAAATTATCGTATCTTTAAACTTTCTTTCGTTACATTAGATTATTATATAAACGTTCGACAAATAAATATTACTTTATAATAACATTATTTAAAAATTATGATATTAATATTATTTAAAAAAAAAATATTTTAGATTAAAAGTTTGAACACGAAAGGATATGCTTCTTCTCCCCTATCTCCTCTCTTTTCCCTTAAACCACCTACTCCACCCTCTTCCCCATTTACGAGGGATGTTAACTCGAACCAATTAACATCAAATTGTTCGCATAAATCTCCTTCTTCCCCTCTCCTCCCTTTATGCGTCTTTTTACAAGATACGCCTATAAAAAGGGTAGGAGAAGATGGGGGAAGAAGAAAGCAAATAATAATAATACTAATAATAATAATAAATGAAATGGTAGTGCAAAGATTGGTGTTGTTATCGCGTTGGAACGACGAGGACGTCCCTGATTTCCGAGGAGCAGCGACGCAATGTCAATGACCAATCGTGACCGAGTAAAAGCCGACGAGATCGGATTAACGAGAGAAAGAGAGAGAGAGACGAGAAAGAAGAGAGAAGATTCCTCTCTCTCTCTCTTTCTGCATCATGCTCGAACGTCGTATGTACGTACGTAGAGCTGGACAGGACGTACGTGATTGCCTCATTGACCGGATTGACAACCTCCGAATGAGAAAAGCGCTTATAAGAGAAGAGGACGAATAGCTCTCTTTGCGTTTTCTTGGTGGTAGGGGTAGTAGCAAGTGGTGGGGGTTACGTCGTCGTCTCCGACATCTTATTTCTTTTCATTTCTTTTCTTTCCTTCTTTTTTGTTTTGTTTTTTTAATAATGATATTTATGTTTATCATAAATGTGTTTTTTAACATTTACAATCTTTAATTATTATATATTTTATTATATATTTTTTTGAGGGAGGGGGTAAAGATAAAAAATACAGATATTTGTTAATTCTATAACTGATGTATATATATTGTGTATTTTTCTTTTTATCTTGTTAAAAATAAGTTCAATAATTCCATAAGGTATCATATTTTTCATAGTGTTACTTTTGCACAAAAAAAGCAAAGAAACAATGTACGAAAGTAACGAAAGCTATGGAAAGAGAAGAGAGATATAAAAAAAATGAGCAAATCTCGTAGCCATTTTCTTTTTTTTTTTTACTTTTCATCATTAAAATCCGTGAAATCTCACGAGAAGAAGAAAAAGAATAACACAGAGCGGAGGTAGGTGATCATTTGTTCTGAGTGTTAAAAATTGCCAAGAAAATTTAACCCCGAGGGGAAGTACGAAAGGAGGGGGTTACGAAAGGAAACAACAAAAAAATGATCCGACATTTGACTTCCCGTCGTGGAAGTGTGGATTTGTTGGATCCCCTTTCTCTCTCCCCCTCTCTCCCCTGATCTAAGAAGACGATTTGGCGCAGTCGTTTTCGATTAGTGTCGCCAGGTAGAAAGAAGAAAAAGAAAAAGAAGAAGACGACGACAGATCGCGGAAGGATCTGTTGGATCGGTAAGGATGTTTTGATCCGTAATACCGGGATCGGTACGGTGGTGGTCACCATTGTAAGGTTCGGAGTGAGGTCTTCCGGCTCATTCATCGAACGACTTCCGCCATTTCTCGAGGAAACCTATTCAACCATTATTTCACTACCGCCGAGAGAGACTAATTCGGCGCGTCGTGAACCCTTTTGTGTGTCTCACCACTCGTCCTACTCTTCGTATTCCTCTTCCCCCTTTCTCCCCATCTTCTTCCTCATCGTCATCTTATTCGCTTAGCAGCCCCAGGTATATATATATCTAACTAAAGACTCTTTTCTATTATGCTTGACTTTTTCATATTTTGTTCTTTTTCTTTTTCACTTTTATTAAATTTCTTAACCCGTTTAAAAATAACGTGTTCCAACCAATCGATGATCACCCCCACCCCCTCCTGCCCTTTCTTCAGTTACACGAAACAAGAAATGAAAAAATAAACAGTAAAAGAAATAAGTCTCGAGAAAATGATGATAATAATAGGATTAACGATTTACGTTAGAATTAAACTATTTCATAAGTTGTATTGAAACAATGAGTCAAAATAATTATGTAATATAAATTTAAAATAAGAAATAGAAGAAGAAGATTAAGAAGAACAATTTCTTTAACGCCTAATCCTTAAAATAAAAATATATATAAAAAAAAAAAAACATTTAAACGAATGCCAATAATCGAAGATGATTTAACAAATCGTTTTACATCTCTCTCCTTCTCCCTCCCGCCCCCAGAACCCTGTGATCGAGTTGCACGAAAAGGTGCGTGCATGCGCGCGTGCATGAGTGCATGCGTGAGCTACGGCAGTTAGGCCACCACCGCGTCAGGGTTGTTGTTGATAGAAAGAGAGAGAAAAGATAAAGTTAGTAGTAATAGTAGTAGAGTAGTAGTAGAGTAGTAGTAGCAGAGTAGTAATAGAGTAGTAGTAGTAGAGTAGTAGTAGTAGAGTAGTAGTAGTAATAGTAGTAGTAATAGTAGTAATAATAGTAGTAGTAGTAGTAGTAGTAGTTGTAGTAGTGTTGTTGGCTTTCGAGTCTGTTCGAGGAAACGTTCTTCCGCCGTTTTACCACCGAGCATTCGACTTTTTACCACGTCCGTCTATCTTTCCTTCGACTTATTTTTTTTTTATCTCTTGGCCGCTCCCTCTTTTCTATCCTGCCAACAACAACACCACCACCACTAATAACACTATAGCACCACTAATACTATCAAAATAAACCACCATCGTTTCTACCACCACCCTGTGTTTGTCTTATTATTTTTCTTTTTCTTTTTTTTTTTCTTTTTTCTTTTCTTCTCCCTTACACGTCTCCATCATATTGCATCTTTCTTTCTATACTACTTTTTTTTTATAATTATTTTATTTTTTTTTTTTATTTTTTTTTCCACCAAAGAAAATATTATTGTAAGAATTGGAAAATTAAAAGAAGGAAAGGGAAAAGATATAAATAAATAAAAGGAAACAAATATATTCTTAGTAAATTTGAAATAGAGGTGGATTAGTATCTGTACTATAATATAACGGAAAATTTCCGACCGGAAGTCGAGTTCTATCGAACGAAGAAGAAAAGTGGGTTAGAGGTAACTGACGACGACGAAGAAGAAAAATAAAAAGAAAAAGGAACGAAATACGGTTGAACCTTTAGTTATCCGACGATCTTAATATTTGAACGTTCTATTATTTGAAGACTATTGTAACATTCTACTATTATTCTCTGCTTATATTATCTATTATTTAAACAAATAATCTCGAAACGGTTTATAGTATAACTTTTATACAATATTTTATTTATATATCTTTTTGTTATATATTAGTATAAAATTAATATTTCATGTATTTATATATAATCAATATATTTTTAAAGATAATGAGTTTTACTTTTCCTTTTTTTTTAAACAAATTTCGAGTAATAATTATTTAAAATATTAATCATCCACTTAAATTAATCAATAAATATATATATATGTAAACAACACCATCACTATTGCTTATTGCTAAGAATATTGTTCCTGTTATACATTTCTTCTTTTTCATATTTATATATAATGATATTCAAATATAACTAATTAAATTAAAAAAAAAAATTCCACGGAAACTAGAATGAAAATTATTAACGCGTTTTATTATACAACATTTCCATCATCCTGATGTGTTTATTTAACGTGTCTCCAAATTAATTCAAATACTACCATAGATTTTACTATAACTCATTTTATCATTAACCCTATATCACGAATCATCTCATTTGATCA